GCCTTTTACTTCTCCGAGTGTAGAGTCGCTTTGCTCATCGGCGTTTTCCTTTGCCCTTCGTTTATGCGGTGGCGTTTCTCCACTCATCGACGCGGGAACGGGCGTCGCCGGAGCTCGAAGAGGTGTCGACGCCCTAATGGGTGTTGGCGTGGTATGGGTCATCTCTGAGTGTTTTGGGTTCTTAAGCTTAGCGTTTTCTACTTTAAGCATTTTTACCTCTTCCCTTAGCGTCGCGTTTTCTCGCTTTATTTGCTCTAACAACTGTCTGATCTGTGTTATTTCCTGTTCTAAGGCGGACCCCGCGCGTGTAGGTGTAACAGCAGTGCCAGAGACCGCGTCTGCAAAGCTCACCTGTGCCTGAGTTTCTACCGCTCCTCGGCTGGATTGCAATCTTGACGTTGCCCTGGATCTCGATCGGGTTCTCGATCGGGTTCTCGAACGGTTCTGGACCGGGTCCTCGACCTTGGTCTGCGACCGGGCTGCTTCCGACTGTCCCCCTCGTATGGTCCCGGGGGTGAGCCTTCTGTGCGATGGCCTTCTGATCCCTGGTGTTCTCGCTCGTTGCTTTGCCAGCTAGTTTGTTGTAGTCGTTGATGCCGTATGGTGTTTCGGCCTCCGCTTCTTCTCTTCTTCGTCGCTCCCAGCGTCTTCGCCGGACCAATACGGTATCTTGTACTTTGCCTTGCAGCGTCTGTCTCCCGTAAAGTGAGCTTGCCCGCATAGCTGACATCTTGCTTCACACTGGTGTTCTTGCGGCGGGTTGGCCACGCCGCATCCTCTGCATATTTTTTCGTCTGGGTTGGGGCAAACGTCCGCCCTCTGTCCCAGCCTCCCACATTCGTAGCAAATGTCAGTGTGTTTTCTGTATAGCGAGCACCGGACGATGAGCGCTCCGTATTTCACGTATCTCGGCACGTGTAGTCCGTCGAAGAGCACGATTACATGTCTGTGTTGCCCATCCTCTTCGCGTGTAATATGCTTGGGTTTCTTGCTGTCACTAGGTTGTCTATAATATCTTCGGAAGTTTCCTCTTGGGATATCCCTCTTATGAGTCCCTTAGATGTGTTTTCCGGCGCTGCTCTGTAGGCGCTGGCTTCGTGTTCTTGCTCTCCCACTCGGATCTTCGTGATGGCTCCGTACCGCCTGGCTCGCTCTTCGGACGGCGTGCTGACGACCACGATATTCTGCTTGTAGTTTATGCATATACTGTCTTCTTCTGCTGCTTCGCGACCGACGCCAGCGGCGTTTCTCAGGCAGCAGTATATGCGTGCCTGCCTGTGCTCCGAAACGCTGAGTCCTCCTCGTGGTCGCACGATCACTTTGTAGTCTTCTGCCAGTAGACGAGGAAGTCTGCTTGCATTAGCAATTTGTCGTATGGTTCGTTCACCTTTCCACTTGCTGTCCCCAGGCGCGCCGTCGGCGCAGCAGCGTCTCTTATCATGGTTCTCTTCGGGCCTGAAATCCCTCCAGATGTTTTCGTGATGTTTCTTCTGCGGACTTCGCACCATCCGGCGTCGTTGGTAAAGTCCTCCGGTTGCATATCTTCTCCTTCCACGCTTACAACCTCCATCGTGGTGCTAGACGCGCCGTCGAGGCGTTCCGGGGTCGCCCCAGGCGTCCTCGTCGACGCGTTGGACCTAGCTCTCCCCGCCGCTGCGGCGGCAGACGCAATGTTTGATCTTCGTGGCGACTCAGAATTATCGGTGTCAGTGCCGAAAAAGCGGGCCCACCTTGCAATAGTTGGTATCCAGGTGTTCCGCTGAACTTCCTCCGTCGATTGGCGTAGAGACTTTAGCCACGTTTTGCAATTTTTTAACAAAAATCATTTGAAAACTGCGGAGCCTACACAACGTGCGTCCGCACTCTGCGACTCCTAGCATCCAACCCTCAGAATACGTAAAGCAAATATAATTTGGAGGTACCTATGCATGAAATGTCTTCGTGATGACATTTCTGGTCGATTCGTAAAGTTAACAACCAGCGGCCATGACAAAGCTCTCTTTAGGCCTGCATTTCATTAACAACACGAAAAAAAAAGCCGCCGCGCACGCAGGAGATGACTGTTCATGGCAGAGGCTTCCGGGACACAAACGGCGTCTTCCGGTGGCTTCCACCACGTGCGCTCAATGCGCCATCCAGCTCCCCCCTGGTAGAGATCAGTTGGTACACAGGCTAGTCAAAGAGATGCTTCGAATCTAATAATCAGCACCGTGCTCGTTGAGATCCTCACAAACTGCTGACAGAGCTAATCACCGAGGCCGTGTCCTTCACGAGTTCAGTCGCTACGTTCTAGCGCGTCGCTTCACCGACGCGCGCCCTTTTCATCCTCTTCTTTATTGTCTGCTTGCACCCAGAGCACGTCGGCATGGTTGATTAGTTTTATGGCTGGGCGATATAACTAGCTTATTGAGGACATGCTATGGCCGTGCTAATTAAGCCAGGTCGTGCTAAGACCAAGGTACTTAAGCGACATTTTACTAAGGCTATGCTGATGAATCGATGTAAAGCTAAACTTCGTAAGGTTGTGCTACTTAGCACAACGCTTTTAGGAGCATGCAAGTTAGAACCAAGCTCATTAGTTTCTATGACCGTGTTAGTTAGAATTGTGCAAATTAAGATTATGCCGTTTACTATCTTTCAATCAGACCTCGCTAATTATACCGCTTCATTCGCAGAGCGCACTCGGCGAATAAAAAAGACTTTCTTGCAAGAATAATTGTGGAAACCAATAAAGGTAAGTATGTACCCGCATGAAAGTCTGCATGAAAGTCTGAACAGTGAGGTTACGGTGGAAAGGTGTCCGTCCTTTCATGCCTGCAAGACATCACGTTGCACATGTCCTACCATCCACACCGTCCACCTCAATGCTGATACGCAAAGAACATTACAAACTCGTATATTGAAGTACCTATCATGCTTGTCATTTTACGTCTTTTGGAATTCATATCAAGTGTTATTTATTTACGAAGTACCAGGTGCTCTACTGAGAGCTTGACACGTGAGCCCATAAAAGCGGCTCACTGTAACACGCCTACTTACTCTGACGAAGGCCATGCCATGGCTTAAACGTTAGCAAAAGCTTCTTCGTTTTCAAAGTGTGCTACCTTCAACTTCATTTAGCACACAAACACACACACATAATATATATATATATATATATATATATATATATATATATAATATATATATATATATATATATATATATATATATATATATATATATGACAAAACCAAGAATCCACCATTCTGTTGTGCAACAATAAAGAGAGAGAGAGAGAGAGAAATAGAGAGGAAAGGCAGGGAGGTTAACCAAGCTTGGCTCGGTTGGCTACCCTACACTTGGGGGGGGGAAAGGAGAAAGGGGATTGATTTATATGTGGGGTCTAACGTCCCAAAACCACCATATGATTATGAGAGACGCCGTAGTGGAGGCTCCGGAAATTTTGACCACCTGGGGTTCTTTAACGTGCACCCAAATCTGAGCACATGTGCAACAATAAAGAAATATCATAAGACTATGATCAGCCTTCCATAAATCACACACTAATCAAAAGCCGATACTAAGCTTACGCGAGAGTAACATACGTCCGAGAATGTCTTGGCTGTAGCAGCTATTTTCAAATGTTATCATTTAAAGCCTAATTTCGCAGCTAAATATGTTTTCTTCTTTGAATTTATTCATTTGGCTCAACAAGCCAACTCCTGCTATTAAAAGTTAATTTCATTTCTTTCGTTGCTACAGTCCTTGATTTCACGAAACGAAAAAGCAACGTTCACTTTAAGAATAACACAAAAGATGACAAATGACGACAGGCGCTGCCTTCGTATGCGCCTGCCATTTGTCTTTTTTGTGTTTGTTTGAAATAGGCGTTGCTTTTTCTTTTTTTTTGCACAATGAACGAACTTGCCCGTGCCTTAGTCCTAGCATGATTTCATAAAAAACTTCAGAACATCCCCCGCAACAAAGAATGTAATTATGAAGAAAAGTTTTAAATACGATATTTTTAATGCAGAAATTTTGGCCTGTCTGTGACATGATTCAGACACGCGGATAAACTTTAAGCACTCGCTTAACGCTTAGCCACTTTGAACTGGTGGCTCGTGAACATTGTCGATCAATAAGCAGATATCACGCACATCTGAGGCGCAAAATCAATAAGTAAGCATTTGGAAATGAGTTCTTTTACTAGAAAATACACAGATACGTAATTGTAAAGACCATAATGTATCTTACGCTGCGCTGAAATTGCGACGCTATGCACAAAAAGCACTCTGCCGACAAAGGATCCTTCATGTGCGTGCGCACGTGAAGGCTCCTACTGACGACATCATGCTGCCTTCTTGCAGTCACCTTGAGTTCTGCATGTCTCCCGATGACACTGCCAGATGACGTCTATATCTCACGCAGCAAGGCCTGTATTTCATCAATACCAGCCAGATGCGGCCGATCCAACATAGAGGAGGCAATGTCTGAGGCAAGGCAAAACATAAACGGGCACTTCCCCGGCTGAAGAACGATATTTGCAGTGAAGCACGAAGACACGCAGCTAATTTCGTCATTGAGGACTTTCAGACACAGTTCTTGAAATCCCTTGTATGCGAGACTGAAGATGTATAGGTGTGGTTGTGTGCATGAATGCGTGTCTTTCCCTGTTTGTGTGTGTGCGTGCAAGTTCAAACCACAGCAGGGCGTCAAAATATACTTTGTTTCATACACACGTTACTTGTAGCGATCAGGGTTTCGTGGCAGAGTGGTGGACATAGTCTTTTCTTTGAGTACGCATGGGAATGCTTATGTGCACGAAATCGGAAATGCAGATCCTGGACAGATGTCATTGCAGCTGGCACTGTTGACAATGATATGATGCAGTGTGCATGTGGCACATTACTTCAAATGCTCATCTGAATAATAGCCATTCTGAAATGAATATCTATGTCGTTTTTGAATACTGCATATCTGCCACGACACATTGCCAGAGAAAACAAACAAACAAAACATTGCATCTTTATATTGTTTTATATGTCAGTGTAGAAGCTCCAGTGGTTACATATTGCGCAATGATGTTGAGAGCATTAGTCCATCTTCAATCATCCCCGACGACTACCAAAATCGTATGGCATCTGCGAGCGTCTAGCCAAACATATTAAAACAATTCCGTACGTGTTGTGAGGTGTACAAGTGCATCCTCTTCCACATGATTGCCATGCGTGTCTGTTTCTGCACTGAATAAAAGGAAAAACGCAAATAGTAAGAAAATAAGTAAACTGAAGGGCAATGTGTCAACTTGCGATAAATAAGCTTAATAAACGCAATGCTTGCAGTGAGAACAACAAGAAAAGAAAAAGAATTACGTGCGGCCCGCATGGAAAGCACGGCACTTTCACGGTGAGTGCTAGAATTGCAGCACTTATAAAACCAGTAAACTATCTTAGGGCTACTAATACAAGTAGGCTTGGAAGCCACCCGCTATACCGTAAATCACAACTTTTGTTAACATGGCAAGCGCTCGCTCCGCCGTTATTGGTCATTCTGCGGAGAAACGAGGTACCCGCTAGGCATTTGCAAGTTATTACGTGTACTTTGTTTATGCGGTACCTGATGGTGAATTGTATCCGAGATCTTTGCAATCAGTTGGATGGGAATGATGGATAGTACATAGATTTGCCTAGCCTTCGGGCTGGCGGGTTCCGAACGGACTTGTGGCTTCGTTTAATGAAGTGTTTTAGTTGCGATTAGAATAAAAAAAGCAATCGTTTTGAACTTCATGACCTCATTCAAATTGGTGAGCCTAGAGGTCACGGTAGTGAAGTGCAATCGCTGAACATTTTCAAATTGTTACTTCGTGACAAAGCAGCTCCAAGCCGCTCGAAGCCAAATGGAGCCGAAAGTAGGAAGGCAATCCGCCTACTACCCATCATTCCCATGCTTGCTGGAGCCTCATGCATTGCAGCTCCCTTGACACTAGTTCCAGAGTTCCATCTTGCGTACTTGAAGAAAACTCTATACTCATGATAGCTTGCACTGCAAAAGGCCTCGGTCACCAAACACAAACGTGTGAGCGGCTCAACTTTTTGAAGGACCTGCGTGAACAATCCCTCGAATATTACGAGGGCATGAGATGCACCGCATAGTTATCAATAAAGGCAAAAATCCTGTATTTATCCACAATGAATTCGGCAGAAGTTGCATCCTCTAGTTTTCTAAGCGGTATACTCAACATATGATTCGCTGTCTACAGTAATATAGTTACTCGTGCTGGGTGGCAGGGTCGCGTTGCGGATAACGGTAACACATCATTCACCCAACCTTTCTCTTTAACTGGTAGTATGCAAGGTATATAACATCTTACATGACATAACGCGTGTAATACCAGACCTATCATTTTGACCTATAATAGACAGCGACGTTTGTTATGGCATCCTATAAAGCGATTCATTTTGTCACAAAGAATCGCTCATTTTCGTTCCATGACACTGACTATGACTGTGTAACTAGTAGTAGCTCCTACTATGCAACAGTTCTTTATTTCCTGACCTTCTAAACCAAATGTTTTGGTCATTTCAGTAAATGCTTGTTTTGTGGGATATAATATTTGGCGGGCTATTTTTTATTCACTTTTTAAGTAATTTGAACGTTATTAACCAAGACTGTTATTAGGCAATAACTTGAATATTTGACTCATTTCTTAAGAAACAGTGCTAGACAACCATTATTAAACATATCCCATAAGTCAACAGCAGCCAAACGTTAGCCATGAGAAGCGAAAATGACCAAGTACGAGCTAATCGAAGTCTGCTACGTGACGGTGCGCATACAATATCCACTACAGTTGTGCACGGGCTCAATGGTCGAGCCGTAGCCCAGCCCGGGACAGCCCGACGTACTAAATCAAAACCAGCCCGATGCTCGAAATCAAAAGCTTGGGACTGGACCAGTCCGGCCTGACAATACGGAGGTTGGCGGCGGAGAGAAGAAGTCGCTTTCCGATAACGAGGTATTTTATTCAGCATATCAAAGTGAAACCTAAGCAAACAAGAAACGACAGTCACAATAAGCATATACCATTGTAAGTTGTGTAAAAATGAAATATTCACTGATTCCGGCTTCAGTGAAGTGTAGCGCTTCTGCGTCACATATCTCGCCCAACTGAAAAACCACTTGAACTGCGAATGTCATTTAGCGCAATCATTGTATATTTACAATAATCACACTGTTTGTACGTCCAGAAGTTTAGTACCTCAAGTATATATATCCAAGGTAAAGGCGGTACGCAGTACAAAACAGATCTAGCGCAATCTACCTGTTCTTCCATCAATCCGTCCGTCCGTCCACCCATCTATTCATTCATCCATTTATGTGTGCAGATTCAGAAGAATTTCATTATTTAGCGGTAATTACTAGAGGACACTTTTCTAAAATCTTAAAATGGCAATGAGTTTTTTGCATTCATGACTTCAATTCTGTCAATTGATTTACCTGCCTCACCAAACTAATTAAAAATAATAATTTAGGTTCCTTAATAACTGTTCTAAATGATGTCTTCAACCCTTTTATGAGGCCTGCCACTACAGAAAAAGCAACTCTGAAGACGGCGAGCAAATAGCGCCGTGTTTTAATTTTTAATGAATATTGCACATATTTATTATAACACACACACTCTCTCTCTCAATATATATATATATATATATATATATATATGATCGACATAGCAATGTTTAAAATAAAATGGGACCCTACTTTTTCGGCAATACATATAATTTGTCTAAATTATTCTCCTTTGCATCCCATACAAGCATGCTATAACTCAAAGTAATGTCCCTTAAACTACGTCAGCCATGCTGGCTTGCCCTAGCTGAGTATATAAACCTTAAGACGCCATTCATTCATGTGAGTCACCAATCTGTGCACTGAAGTCACACAGTACGGAAGCATCTAGTATTTCTCCTCTACAGAAATGCAAACGCCGCGCACATTCGGGTCAGCGGCCGAGTGCCGTACTAACTGAAGCACTGCAAGAACTCGCCATGAATAATTGTAAGCCAAACAAACTAAGGTGCACGCCTGGAAAAAAAGTCTCTCCTCTTCTATGAGCACACCTCCTGGAATGGGCCTGTTGTGCGTCTATTCAAGCACTGCTAATTTGTAATAATATAAATTGATGAGGCTTAGCATACCCAAAACACGATATGTTTATGTGAGATGCTGTGAGGAAGGGCTTCGGAAATTCCGACTGCCTGGGGTTCTTCAAAGGTCGCCTAAGTAAAAATACACGGGCCTCCAGCATTATCGCTTCTTTTATTATGCGGCCGGTGTCGCCGGGATTTGAACCGGTGGCCTACCAATTAGCAGCCAAGCATATAACCACTAAATCATTGTGGCAGGTTAGTGCAATGACTGTTAGGCATGTGAAAATGGAAAAATTTTTGTGATAGTGGCAAGCCATCAAACACGTGGACTTAAAAACCAGCAAGTTATATAAGCAGTGACTAGCACACTATAAAATGTAGAAATAGCTATAGCTGTACTTACGTCATTTGTACAAGCATATCTAATTCTCGCGCCAGCACGAGGAGGAAGTCACATCTGCAATAAATAAAAAACCATTGCATTACGTTAGATCGCACTACATCACACTACATAACAATACATAACATTTATTTCATTGCACTGCATTACATTAAATAACTACCCTGGTTCACACACCGACAAGCTGAAATATATTAAGAAAAGCGAGTTATCCCACATCATGTTGACCTGTCAAAAGCGGTTGAAAAGGGTGGTGCGATCACTGTGATGACATTGAGACAACATGCTCTTCAGCAGAGATCCAGAGGAACAGCTCTGGCCAACCTGACGAGCAGGATGCCGCTAAGGCTCAAGGGTTCCTGGCAGACGTCGGCGTTGTGTCGCTATGTGTCATGATACCTTTCATCATTGTTTGACATCTTTGAACGACATGCGAGAAATTTAGACGTTATTGTGGGCTGCACAGAACAAGTTATACGAACTAAAAAGTAGGGTACCATTTAGGACAAACAGTTTATGCGCGAGTCATCCCAATATATTTCGTATGTGTACGTGCCCAGAAACATCTCTCGAGCGTCAAAACGAATCCCAGACAACCGCGAACGAAGGAACATTTTGTCAATTATTTATTCATTTTTCGCAGAATTGTTGGTATGCAATCGCCGCTCAATAAGCCCCAAAGTTTGATAAAAAGGGCTGGAGATATTTTACCCCGAATTTCGGACATGATGTTTTGTACACTTTCTTTTCTCTTCCTGCCTCCCCACAATAAGCAAGAAGAAACAATAAAAAACCTACCCGGTTTCAGTACTAATTGCACGCATTCAGTTTTGCTCTGGCTCGCAGATATCAAATCATATTGCGTTTGGTGAACCACGTCGATAAAGTAAACTTTTGCTTTAGTGAGGCATAAAAGTGTTGCTTATTTAGTATGACAATTGCCGGCATGTAAACTGAGCCGGCAATAACAGTGGAATGGGACGCAGGATTGAAACTATGTCTAGTTCGTAGTACCTCGCAATGCAACGGCAACGCAACCACATGCAGCGAAAAGAAAGGAAGTGGAACGCTAGGTTTCGTGTAATGTCTTGTCTCTGTCCGTTGGTGGCAGCGCTGTCTACGTTATGAAGAGTGATACGCCTGATAATCTGTATCCAGTACTACGAATCGCAACAGTGTTGCTTAAGATCACGCGAATTTCCAGTGGGCTCAATTGTATCTCCCCATCTTTGCCTCCCTTAATCCACTTGACGCCAGCGTAGGGTATCAGTCCATACGCGCATCTGATTAATTTTCCTGCCTTTCTTTCCATCTGGGATGTTGCTGCTCTACATCCAGCACACTGCTGGTGTTTGCTTAGCTTTTGCATTGTAAACTTCGCCTCCTATAAGTGTATACGGACTTGTGGTGATTGTTAGACTCGCTGGCTTTGTCAGTGTATGCAACCTGGTAGTCTTGAACTGTGTTCATTGAACAAAAGGCACCGTATAGGCATTACCAGCCGTTAATAATTTACTTTGAATAAAATTTGGGCACCGATTAGACAGATGTTGTCTTAATTTTGTAATGCCCTTTTGTTGAGGGCAGTAAAGCAACAACTCTCTGCTGGTGAATTCTCACGTATTGCGTAGCATTTTTGATATTACTTAATAGAATTATACTATTCGAACTGGTATGGATGGCACCAAAAAAAAAAGCGCCATTGTAACTGGAGACGATCATTCCGGTGAAAGGAGTGGTTACGCTATGTTGAGCTTCCAACGAAAATTTTATAGCGGAATTACGCAACCCATTGTTCTGCATCGCTTCACTATAAATCATATGCAAAATTGCTGCCATCTGTCGGCCGTTGTGTGAATAGCCGCCATGTTAGAGGCTGAACGGGGCGCAGTATGCACAGTCCGCGCAGGGCAGCGTGTGTTTACGTAGACGTATACGCAAGGCGTATTGACGTGAGGCATTTGTCAGCTGATAATTGCAATGCCGACGTATTGCTGCGTCTCTTACAGAACAAGAGGAACTAGGAATGCTGAAGAAGAAATGTAAGTTGTAAACTTAGTTCCTTTGTTATTTTCTCAAGCTGATGACATTTCCAGCATGTGCTCCTGCTACTGTTCCTGAAACATGCGTTTGCGTTCTTCTTTCTAAGCAAGTAAGACGTGCAATAAAACTTGTATTCTAGTTCCCACAAGTTACTGCACGCCGAAGCAAGGTAGTTATTCAATGATTTTGCTAGCACCCGTTTACAAAGTGAAGGCGACTCGTACGCTTTACGCTGAAGGCACCTTCACCCAACAAACTTTATCGCAGATATAATAGCGCGTGTCAACATTTCGTTGAATGTGTTTTGTTCATCATGTTTGGGTAACGACAACGCTGTATCAGAAGAAGTGCGCGTCCTTGGTGCCTTCTGAGAAGGGAGCGACGATGCAAGAGCATTATTGATTCATCAGGTTTTGTTCCCCTTTCTGGAGTGTGACAAGCTACCGTTTAGGGGTATGAATTACGCATGACTGCACACGTTTTTCAAGCATTCTACGGGCTCAGCACATGCAACGAAATGCAGGCACGTGAAATTAGCCGCGATAATTCTCGTTACGTTATAAGTGGCTTCCGCGTAAAGTGTAGGCGTCACCTTCACCTTGTGAACGGCTGCTAGAGAAAACATTGCAAAAGCTGCCTTGATGATCGATTGATATGTGAGGTTTAACGTCCCGAACCACCATATGATTACAAGAGACGCCGTAGTGGAGGGCTCCGGAAATTTCAACCACCTAGTGTTCTTTAACGTGCACCCAAATCTGAGCACATGGGCCTACAACATTTCCGCCTCTATCGGAAATGCAGCCACAGCAGCCGCGATTTGAACCCACGGCCTGCGGGTCGGCAGCCGAGTACGTTAGCCACTAGACCACCGCGGCGGGGCGCAAAAGCTGCCTTGACTAGGCGAGCTGCAATTTGTGGGAACACAAGTGCTATTGCAAGTTTTATTTTCACGTCTTATTTCACGTCTTAGAAAGACGACTGCAAAGACGTCTTCGGGAAGCAGTAGCCGGAGCACTTTGTCGAAACGTCGTCGTGAGCTTGAAAAAAAAAATAAGTGATGTTTCCGGCTTACGTTTTCGACTTCAGCATACCGAGGTTCTTCCTGTGTGCAACAAGGGATGCCGCAATACGTCGTCATTGCGATTATCAGCCAACACGCATGTCTCACGCCGCAATGTCTTACCCACAAGTATATGTAAGCACACGCGAACTGTACGTACTGCACTGCGCAGAGCCTCTAACATGGTGGTATGCGCAAGATGAAAGACAAATGGCAGTAATATTAAATAAGTCTATTGAAACCTGCATGTAATGAATGGGTCGACAAAAAGAGCGTCAACCTGGAGTGGTCTGCAACATCCGTGAGGGCTACCCAGCGTGTCCAACACTTTGTCACGTGGCTTCAGAAGTAGTAGTGTGTTTTTGTAAACCATTGAGTATAGATGGCGCCTGAAAAAAAATGGCAGATACCCCGTACAGTGGGAATCGATGATATGCGAACCACGAGTAACAAAGGTTGGTATGTAACTTTAAAATCAGCTCAACGTAACAAGGTGGAGGTAAATAATGCCGTACATGACTTCCGTGTCATGATTATCATGTTTTGATGTGTCGTTTACCATCGTAATTTATTTACATGACGTGATGCCAAATTTAGTATGCGTGGAGCTATGAAAACGGCCGCGAGCACGCTATTAGCGTAGTATGTTGTCATGTTCCTACATGACATGCGTGTCATTATTTCCACGTTAATATCTGTCACGTATGTTCGCGATGATGTCATGTCATACCATACCAGTTTTGCAACATGTCATGTGAAAAAAACCACTGCAAGAGCCGCAGGACCATGAAATGTAAATCATGACATTTATGACATACATTCATGATTTTCATGTCACGACTAGCTAAATATGTTCTTCATACAGTCATGTTATGCCATACCAAGTTTGGTATTGATACTATTATCGAAACAGACAGGAGAGCTAGAATCCGTAGGCGGCTAGATAAATAGATAGGTACGCTCAAAGTCGCCGAAGTTGGCTAAGAAATGCTTCGCTTTTCAAAACGCGCCGTTTGGTCTGGTTCTTGAGCGCAGAAACGCGTGGTCTCCTTTTCTAGGTCGAAATCCGCTCACGTCCTCGACCTATTACAACTAGGTGATAATAGGTATTTGAGTTGCATTGAGAAATCTAGGTCGGTTTTGTACCGCGCGCTGTTGATTGATTGATATGTGGGGTTTAACGTCCCAAACCACTATTTGATTATGAGAGACGCCGTAGTGGAGGGCTCCGGAAATTTCGACCACCCTGGGGTTCTTTAACGTGCACCCACATCTGAGCACACAGGCCTACATTTCCGCCTCAACCGGAAATGCAGCCGCCGCAGCCGGGATACCAGCGCGCTGTTATTGTCATAACATTTACTTTTAAAAGTGAGGTATGCCCGACCACGCATTCGGATTTGTTCCAGCTGTTTCTTCGTAAAAGTGCAAACGCAGTCTAACTGAGCAGTCTAAAGTTGAATGAGTTATAGCCACAAACTGCGATGCAGTTGTACTTGTAATTCACAGGACTGCTCATATAACGACAAAGTCTCCGCGTTCACCAATAAACATTGAGTGAGTTTGGCGTTTAATGGGATCACCGCAGAGCATTCAGCTGTGAGCAGATGAAACCTTTTAAAACCACATAGGTCACTGGTTCACTGGCATGCACAAAGGGTGGCACAGCCGGCCTAGGTACCCTCTCTTATCGCTTGGCAATTTTTGCCTGGCATGCAGAGCACGAAACGACCTTCATCTGGAGCCTAGCCCCCACTTCAGATCAAGGAAGTGGCCTGCGTACCTTCGAAAAAAAAGTTCTTTAACACACCTGCACAGATGATTTAAGATTGGGGCATTTGTTTTTAAATCTTATACTAATAATACATTCTCGCTTACAAAATTAAGAATCAATTCGGCAGCTGCACTTACAGAGCCGTGTCTAATGAAGCGCTGCCACCACAAA